TGACTTCACGGCAAGGGCCCTGGGAGCTGACTTCCTGGTGCACTATGGCCACAGCTGCCTGGGTATGGCGGACAGGACACTGGGAGGGCTGGCAGGGAGGCCGGATTGCACGCTGATTCCCATCACAGTGCCTTGTCCTGCTTGCAGGCATGAGGTCCCTCCTGGTTTCTGGGGTGGCCTCAGCCTTCCTGCTCTGCAGGTGGATCTTTCCTTTGGATTTGGTTGCCTTAGAAACCATGCTGCCCTCCCAGATGCGGGTGTTTGAAAGGCTGTTGGTATAGCAGGCTGTCCCCTTACCCCTCATCCCCCCAAGTGACCAAGAAGGAGATTCTAACAGGCCTGTGACTCCCCCCTCCCCCACCACTTCCTTCTGTCCCCAACTCGAAGCCACTGGGCCAGGCCTTCTGCCCCTTCTGCCTTCCAAACCGCAGTCCCTGTTCCCTCCTCCCAGTTCCCATGGACACATCTGCCCAAGACTTTCGGGTGCTGTATGTCTTTGTGGACATCCGGATAGACACCGCCCACCTCCTGGACTCGATCCGCCTCACCTTTCCCCCGGCCAGTGCCCTCGCCCTGGTCAGCACCATACAGTTTGTGTCCACCTTGCAGGTAAGCGGACAGGCAACAGCCAGCCTCTAAGCTGTTCTTAGTCCCCGTGCCAGTGTGCAGGCCGGTCCTCCAGCCCTGGCTCTCCCTCCCCAGCCTCTTGCTTTTCTTCTCTCCTTTTCCCTACAGGCTGTTGCCCAGGAGCTGAAAGCTGAGTATCGCATGAGTGTCCCACAGTGTAAGCCCCTGTCCCCTGGGGAGATTCTGGGCTGCACGTCACCCTACCTGCCCAAAGAGGTGGAGGCTGTTGTGTAAGTGAAAAATGGGGGTGTCAACTTCACCGGCATAAGAAATGTACCCCGGGAGCCCAAAACTCCTTAACTATTTGCTCAAGGTCACCAGCAAGATGGGGTCCAAATAGGGTTTCAGATTTTCTGTCTCCCTCACCAGTGCCCTTGTCCACTCCAGAAGGGTATGCTCAGGGTGGGGCAGGAATCAGAGGGCCTGACGGGGGTGAGGGTGTGCTAGAAATGGTGGGAATATAATTGGAGAAGATGGATGGGTACACCCAGGCTGGAGCCCCATTAATTTAGCATCCGGACAGCTAACAAGTAGGAGCGGCGTGTCTCCTGCTGCCTAATTATTTTAGGTAATGGAAATGCTTAATGTTGTGTGAATGCAGCCAAACTCAGAGCTGACAGCTCCTGGCTGGGCCTGGGGAGCCCTGCTCCTGGCTAATGGCAGGAAAGGAGGCAGGGCACTCCCCTGACTGAGCCCGCCTTAGGGGGCTGCAGATTCTGGCTCCATGGGTCTTGCTGTGCTCACACAGACACCCCTGCCCACTGCCAGCCCAGACCTGGCAGTCCTGCTTCCCACATGGCACTTCCCGTGTGCCCATGCCTGCATAACTGAGCGCACAGATGCCTACCCGTGGGGGCTCTGACATGTGTGTTGGAGGGAGGGAAACCCTGAGTGTTGGCCAGTGAGGTCTCCCAGGGAAGGAGCTGCCATGGCACCTTCTTCCACCCTTTGGCCTCTTCGTGTTCTGCGAAGGTGCGGTTAGAGATGGCATCTCCCAGGGCACGCTGGGTACAGCCTCCTGATTGTTAGGCCTAGAGTTAAGCCCTAGATATACTGCTTCATAGCTGTGTGACTTGGGCAAGTTTCTTTTTTTCTTTTTTTAATCCTCACCTGAGGATATTTTTCCATTGATTTTTTTTAGAGAGTGGAAGAGAGAGGGAAAGACAGAGAGAAATATCAATATGAGAGAAAGATTGATTGGTTGCTCCTGCACACGCCCTGAACAGGGCCCAGGCCAGGGAGGAGCCTGCAACCCAGGTTATATGTCCTTGACTGTGATTGAACCCGGGACCCTTAGGTCCACAGTCCGAAGTTCTTCTATCCACTGAGCCAACATTGATTGGCTGCCTCCTGCACACCCCCTACTGGGGATGGAACCCATAACCTGGGCATGTGTACTGAATAGAAATCAAACCAACTGGCAACCTTTTGGTGCAGGGGACAATGCTCAACCAACTGAGCCACACTGGCCAGGGATGAACATCCCTGAACCTCAGCGGCATCTTGTAAAATGGGGACAGTATGGGTAGCTTAGATTATTTGATAGGCCTGAGTGAAGTCATACATGCCAGGTGCTTAGCCCAAGCCCAGTGCACAGCAGGCATAAGTCCAATAAACAGTGTCTATTGTTGCAACTCTGGAGCTGGGCCCAGGAGCCCGTTAGGGCGGACAGTAGCCAGTGCATCCCCGGAACCTCATTTACAGCTTAGACGACACCCTGAACATGACTCCCTTGTCTGTATTGAGCGAGAGAGAATCTGTCTCCTCCCCCGCCCCCTCCTCCAAGTGAGGATCTCCACAGCCTGGAGGTCGGGGCGTTCTTAGCTTCTGCATTAAATAACTAGAGGGGCTTTACGGTCATCCAGTCCAAGCTCCTTTTTTGCATGTAAGATAATCAAAACCGCGGGAGGGGAAATGACTTCTTCCAGTTCACACACAGCCAGTAGGCACAGCCAGCCAAGAAGGCAGTCCTCTGTCCCCCAAGCCAGTGCCTGCTGCTTCCGTTGCCCCACCACACTTAGCACCCCCTTTACCCCGCCTCCACCTCCCCGCAGGTACCTTGGAGATGGCCGCTTTCACCTGGAGTCTGTCATGATTGCCAACCCTGATGTCCCTGCTTACCGGTATGGGCTGAGCTGGGCCAGCCAGTTGGGGAGAGGGTGGGATTCTCTGCCACGGAGGCCCTCACTCAGCCAAATCCTCATTCCTTGGCCCTTTAACAGCCCCCAGCCCTAAAGATACAAGGTACTGGGTCTTGAATCTAACACCAGACCTAGGGCTGCTGCTGCACAGTGCCTTCCCGTCCCCTGGGATTCACGTGGCTTCCTAAAACCCGCTCCCACTCCTGCCTGCCCAGCTGTGGGACTGTCCTTCCCAATGACAACCCATGCTCTCACCTCTGTTCCCAATTACCTGCGTGGAGCCTGAAGGTTCGGGAGACCAAGCGGCCGAGTCAGGGAGCTGTGCATACAGCCCAAGTCCCACAAGTGGCTGCCACCGTGACCCTGACAGCTTCTTTTCCAGATACGACCCATACAGCAAAGTCCTATCCAGGGAGCACTATGACCATCAGCGAATGCAGACGAACCGCCAAGAGGCCATAGCCACCGCCCGCTCCGCTAAATCCTGGGGCCTTATCCTGGGCACTTTGGGCCGTCAGGGCAGCCCCAAGATTCTGGAGGTCAGAGGGCAGGGGATGGCCTCTGGGGAAGGGGCACACTGGGAAACCATCAGTCAGTGGGGAAATCAGTAAGCCAGAGAATTTAGCCTTGGCAGCTGGATCCTGATGGCTCCAGCTCTGCCTTCCTCGACCAACAGCACCTGGAATCCAGGCTGCAAGCCCTGGGACTGCCCTTCGTGAGGCTGCTGCTCTCCGAGATCTTCCCCAGCAAGCTGCGTCTGCTTCCGCAGGTAGATGTGTAAGTTTCCCCACCTCATCTTTCTAGCTACGACTGGCTAACGAAGTTTAGAATTTGGGTCCCTCCTAGCACATATTGAGGGCTGGTGTCAACAGGAATTGCTTCCATGATCATGAAATGCTACTGTTTACAGAGCACTCATCCAGCAGGGGCTGCTCTGGATCACACTTATCTTGTCTGCCTTGGGGCTGGCGGGCATCTGCACCATCACAGTGGTTCTGTAAGAGATGAGATTGAGGGGTGGTTGGCATCTGCATTGTGCCAGGCACTAAAATGGATTCTGGGAGTACTATCACAAAGGAGGTTGCCCACGCTCTGTCCTCAGAAAGCGTGTAGTCAGGGAAGGCAACAGCAACACTACAGTGTTATTCTAACAGCAGTACGTTACCACCTTAACTTTAGAATTCAGAGTAAGCATTCATTGGATGTGTTGGGGACACAGTCATGTTCGTCAGCATGCTGCCCAGGAGACGGGAAGACCTCCCTTGGGTCTGACTGACTTCCCTTCCCAGGTGGGTCCAGGTGGCATGTCCACGCCTCTCCATTGACTGGGGCACAGCCTTCCCCAAGCCGCTGCTAACACCGTATGAGGTAACACCAACATCTGACAGAGTGGACTTTGCACCTGGTTCTGTCAAGGGAGGGATCTAAAGTGGAGTGTGGCCCTAACCGGTTTGACTCAGTGGATAGAGCGTTGGCCTGCAGACAGAAAGGTCCCAGGTTCGATTCTGGTCGAGGGCATGTACCAGTACGGGGTGTGCAGAAGGCAGCTGATTGATGTTTCTAACTCTATCCCTCTCCCTTCCTCTCTGAAAAAAATCAATAAAATGTATTTAAAAAATAAAGTGGAGTGTGGTAGGCGGGCAGTACTTACTAGTAGTTACAGCTGAGCCACTTCCTAATTGAGTGGCCTTGGGCAAGTCTCTTAGCCTCTTTAGCCTGACATTTCCTGTGTGTGCATTGATAACAGGATCTACTATGCCCTGTGAGGATGAAATAATCCTGTGCAGAAGTGCTGGCAAATGCTCTAGTCCGCTTTTCCTCCTCTAGGCGGCGGTGGCCCTGAGGGACATTTCCTGGCAGCAGCCCTACCCCATGGACTTTTATGCGGGCAGCTCCTTGGGGCCGTGGACAGTGAACCACGGACGAGACCGGCCCTCCCAGGCACCCCGCCGGCCTGCGCTGGGGAAGGTAGGCAGGGACTCCCAAGGAGGACTCCCTAGCGATGCGAGCCGTGGCCGCCGCCATGTGGCCGCTACGGGAAATGCATGCGAGCGGGAGGGACGACGTCGCAGAAGTGGGACCTGACCAAAGTGTGCAACTCAGGTGCAGGAGGGACCCGCGCGCCTTTCTCCAGCCGTGACTTGCGAGGATTGCGGCTGCAGAGAAGAGAAAGTGGTGCCACTCGCACCGTGAGCCGCTCCGGAGTCTCAGGTATCCGCCCTGCTTTGGCCGCGCCTCCCCGCTCCGCCTTGTCGTGGGGACGCCCGCCCGCTCGCTCTCAGGCCCGCCTTCAGGGTGTTACCGGCTTTTGGCTCCGCCCCTCGCGTAATTGAACTTCCGCTCGGGGAAAGGCCGCTTCCGTTCCCGCTGGCGCGCTGTCTCGCACTATGGCCGCGCCGCAGCCACTGCGTGTGTTGTGCTTGGCGGGTTTCCGGCAGAGCGAGCGGGGCTTCCGCGAGAAGACGGGAGCGCTGAGGAAGGCGCTGCGGGGCCGCGCCGAGCTCGTGTGCCTCAGCGGCCCGCACCCGGTGGTGGACACAGCGGGCGCCGGGCCGGAGTCCGGTGAGAGGAGTCCTGCCCCGGAAATGCGTTCCGAGTCCTCTCTATCTTGCCCCGTCTCTATAACACTTTACAGCGCACCCCTACTCTGTCCTCATTCATTCCTCCCACCCTCCCACTACATTCTACCCATACCTTTCATTTCTTTAATCCCAGCCTCCCACGCTTACACTTTGATTTGGTCCGCCCGCCCTTCCCCTTGCCAATCAATCTATATCCAACTTCATTTCCCCCAGATTTCTCTCCCCTCAGTCGCTTTTCTCCCAGTCGTTCCCAAACCCTCCCTTTCTCATTTCTTTCCTCCTGCATTCCCCCGTGCCCTAACCCCACCCTATCCCCCCCCCTCCCCCCCGTATCTCTGTAGGGTCCTGCCCTCCAGAGGAGCAGCCTCGAGGCTGGTGGTTTTCAGAACAGGAGGCAGACGTTTTCTCCGCACTGGAAGAGCCTACAGTGTGCAGAGGTCTGGAAGAAGCCCTGGGAACGGTGGCACAGGCACTGAACAAGCTGGGGCCTTTTGATGGGCTCCTTGGTTTCAGCCAGGGGGCTGCGCTGGCAGCCCTTGTGTGTGCCCTTGGCCAAGCAGGCGACCCCCGTTTCCCCTTGCCGAGGTTTATCATCTTGGTATCTGGGTTCTGTCCTCGGGGCCTTGGCCTCCAGGAATCCATCCTGCAGGGGCCCTTGTCGCTGCCTTCACTCCATGTTTTTGGGGACACTGACCGTGTCATCCCCTCTCAGGAGAGTATGCAACTAGCTAGCAGATTCACTGGATCCATCACTCTCACCCACTCTGGTGGCCACTTCATTCCAGCAGCTGCACCACAGCGCCAGGCCTACCTCAAGTTCTTGGACCAGTTTGTGAAAGATCAAATGAAAGAGTGAAAGATCAAATGCCTGGGTCCCTGTATCATCCTCACCCCTGTGGGGACACTGACTTTGGGGCAGCCTCTACGATCCGATCCTTGCTCTTCCCTTGCCCCTCCCCTGGGACCTCCACTGTTGTTTTTACTCCTCACCATCACCAATTAAGACAAATATCAGTCGAAACTGGTTTGGCTCAATGGACTAAAGGTCCCAGGTTCGATTCCGGTCAAGGGCATGTACCTTGGTTGCGGGCACATCCTCAGTAGGGGGGGGGTGTAAGAGGCAGCTGATCGATGATTCTCATTGATGTTTCTAACTCTCTCTCTTTTCCTCTCTGTAAAAAAACAATAAAATATATATTTTTTAAAAAAGACAAATATCAGTTCTTGCCCTGTGGTGTGGCTCAGTGGTTGCACCAGGAGATCATGTTTCCATTCCTAGTCTGGGGACATGCCTGGGTTGAAAGCTCAGTTCCCAGTGAGGGGCATGCAAGAGATAGTTGATCAGTGATTCTCTAGTCATCAGTGATTTCTATCTCTACCTCTCCCTTCCTCTCTGAAATCAATAAAAATACATATTAAAAAAAGAAATATCCGTTCTTAAAACTCGGATTACATAAGCCCAGCTCTGTATTCAAAGAAAATGGGGAGCAGGTGGCCTTAGTGGATGTTGACCTTGGCGTCTGATACTCATGGAAAGGCTAGTGGAGCCCTGAATGAGGGGAGGTGGCGTGGGAAAAGCAGGGGCCGGCACCACTGTCTTCCACACGAAGTGGTGATTTGAATTTTGAGCATCTTTTTCCTGATACAGAAAACAAACCCATTTTATAACAAATCTCCACATGCACCAAGGAAGGGGGCGTTTCCAGTTAGCCCCCAGGAGGAGCTCCTGCATGTGTGCGCGCACACACATTTTTTATGGAAGTCTGAGGTCCCGAGCTGAAGGAAAGGCGTTCTCGGCTGAATCGGGGAAGAATTTGTATCGGAAGTTCTGGGAAGAGAGTATCTGACGAGGCTCTGCCCGGACCCTACTGTGTTGAGGCCTCCTCCATCCTGACCCCTGAGAGTTGTGTGCTGGCCTTTTGTTGAACCCTGACTTCTTATGTTCTCCGCTTTCTCCATAACTTCCTTAGCTCCTCTGAGCTAGGAGTTCAAAGGGTGGGATGGTGATAAATCTTGGATTGAGGCCAAAGACGGCACAGAACAAACCCTTTTCCAAACTTGCCCCTATTCGCAGTTTCTGAGATTGATGCTACACTGAAGTGATCACAGCCAGGCCTAAGCAGCCCATCTGGTTAGCAGTTGTTTCTAAAGCCTGTCCTCTCGGCCATTTCCCCTACCTCCTGCGCTCCCCAATTTCAGTTCTCTCTCTGCGGCTCAACAATTGGTTGCTTTTCTAGAAGATCATAACAAACTATCCCTCTAGCATGGTTGCCCCCAGGGACTTAATTAATGGAGCAGAAAGACTCCAGTCCATCCCAAGACAACTAGACTAATAGTTCTTAAATTACCAAAAATTCTGAGTTTGTCACTATAACTAGCATCTGTGCAGGATATTTTTCTTTTTAAAAATGAGTTGCCTGCCTAGACAGACCCAGTTTACTGGGTTTAGGACCTTTGCTGCCGAAGTGGGATAACTGAGAAAGTTATCTCAGTCTGCTTTGTCTTGCTCATGGTTTTTAAATGGGTCTTTTTCTTAGCAAATGGTGAAAACTCTGAAATGGACTGAATTATTCCTACAGGCCTGTTGGATTGGGCCCATGGTGTTTTAGAAAAAAAAATGGATTTGTGATATTTGAAATTTTAGGAATTTCACACAAAAATTCAGATTTCTGACTTTTCTGGAAATAAGCAGTTCAAAATGGAATGAATGCAGTGGCCCTGCAGTTCAGAGCTAACTACAGCTACTGCTCCTTGGACTGTTGTGAAGATTAAAGTAGAGAGGGGGAGATATATTGGGGAATGAATTTTAAGCCAGAGCTTAAAGTTAGGAGGGTGAAGGCAGAGCAGAGCAGTATTAGGTGCAGCAGAAGTGCTCATGCTTGAGAGAAGAATTTCCCCTGAAAATCAAAATCACCCAGAAGAGAACGGATCTGGCTCCAACAATTATCTATGTCACCTGGCATCATGTTATGTTGAAAGCTGGGATTGCTCAGCTGGCATGGCTCAATGGTTGAGTATTAACCTATGAACCAGGAGGTTAGGGTTCAATCCAGATTAGGGCACATGCCCAGTTTGTGGCTCATCCCCAGTAGAGGGTGTGCAAGAGGCAGCTGATCGATGATTATATCATCATTCATGTTTCTCTCCCTCTTATCTATCTTCCTCTCTCTAAAATCAATAAAAATACATTTAAAACAACAACTTGGATTTTGGAGCCAAACTCCAGATCTAAATCTTCAATCACTGGGACCCAGAATCTGCATTTCGACAGCTATCCCTGGTCATTTCCATGCAACATCATATTTTAAAACTTTGGGAAAAGAGAGAATGTAAGTCTCTGTTAATATGTGTTATTTGATAAAAGCCCATGTGATTCTCATGTTCTCCATGGGGGGGGGGGGCGGACAAGCTCTCAAGGATCATTGATTTAACCTTTTTCAATTTGTAACTAAGGAAAATGAGATTCAGATGATAGAAAGGGGAATACCATTTATTGAGTGCTAACTATGCCAAACGTGATAAGTGGAGTTTTATTTAATCTCGCACCTTCATGAGGTAGACACTTTAACCTAATTTTACAACTGAGGAAACAGGCATGGAGAGACTACATAACTTACCCATCGTTGTTCGGATCCAGGAACTCACATTCTTGACCTCTACTTCCTCAGCAGCCCTACAGGAGGTGAGCAGAGGCCACCACTCCCTCCTTTTGGGCTAAATGTCCTGTCTGGGCCTCACCTTCCTAATCCATAAAATAAGCTGGAGTGGGTGCACTAAATGATTTCCAAGACACTGAGAAACTCCACATTGTACACAGTCTTCTGGCTCTTTTCCTCCTCTGACCACCTTCTCTAAATGGGTTCCACCTGCAAAAGACTTGGTTTCTTCTTTTAAAAATACCCCTGCAGTTCTCTTTCCTTCTTCACTCCACTTTAGATTCCTAAAGCAAATGGAAGAGAGAGTCCCTTAGCAAAGAACCTCTCAGCAATCCCGGTGTCAGAGATCTCTTAGAAAGATGTGCCCTCTCCCCCTTCTCCTGTTCATTTTGCCTAAGTGCTCAGAGCTGGGTTCTCCCCACCACCACCACAGCCTGATAAAGATACAGTACCCTAATAGAATAGTACTTAAAAACAAAATAGCATTCTGCAGTTTTTAAAGGTTTTTACTTATATGATCCTGTTTGGTCCTCACATCAGACTTGCCCAAAAGAACTATTTCATTTTACAGAAAGCTCAGAAACAATATGGCCATAACAACCAACTGATGATGCTTGGGATGATGATGCGTGGGATGCTTCTCTGTGCATTGCTCCCACCTGCAGACACTGCCCATGGATGCCCACTGGGCTCCAGAATTGAGTGCATCTTAATGTAAGACCTCAGGGTCCTCAGGTGGAAGGCAGCACGTGGACATGGATTAGCTGTGAAACCAGCACCAATTGTCTTAGAAGCTTAGAAAAGGAGTGGGTATGGGAGAGTAAAGAAAAACTGGTTTAATGGGTGGCAGGGCTGTGTTGCATTTACCATTCCCAACACTATCCCTAGGAAAATTCTGCACCCAATATGCAGCAGCTCCTGCAGTAAGTGATAGTGGCTGCAGGTGGCGTGTTGTTTTAAATATGGAACGCCTCGTGAATTTGGGTGTCACCCTTGCTCAGGGACCAGCCATGCTAATCATCTTTGTATCGTTCCAACGTCAGTGTATGTGCAGCCCACGCGAGCACGCAGGTGACGTTTTTGAAGAGGTCATTGCACACACTTCCCTGGCACAATAGGACTTCAGCCCCTCCGATTCACTCCCCCTCTTTAGGGCCAATTTGAGATACTGTTTCAGGTTGGAATCCAGCACTTAGACTGAGGGGAGGATGTTATGTTCAGACAATGCTTTAAGGACCTGGTTAACCCACTGGCTTTCCTGAAGGTTGGCACCCTCCCTTACCCTACATGGTCTAAGAGGAGCAGAGAGTGGGGAGAGGAGCGACGGGAGGTTGCAATGCCATCAGAAAACGAGTTCAAGAATTACTCATTGCCCTCTGCCTACTCAGCTAAGGGTTCCTGGAAGAATGAGACTGTGGTGCATTTAGGCAAACTTTCCTGTCTAACCACTCCAGTCCACGGGAGGCATTTTTTCTTGCATCCAGGTCCCAGCAGCCTCCGTCCTACTGAGGAGATTAAATTAAAAAAAAAAACAAAAAAAAAAAAACCAACCAAACAAAAAAAACCCAAATATCGTAACTGCTGTCCTTCTCGTCATCCCCTGGCAGCAATACCTTGGCTAGGAAAACAGGACGGTCCCCGAGGCTGGCGGTCAGACCTACTCCACACACCACGCTTCCTTCTCGGCCGGCGGAAGCGCGGCAATCAGACCCCGGAGGAGCCCGCCCCCGCCTGCGCCAACCCTCCCGCCACCCGCGCAGACACCTCGCATCTTGACTCGCCGCCCCCGCTTCCTCCTGCTCTCGGCCCCCCCCTTCCTGGGGGCAGCAGCGAGCGGCGCCGTGCGGCGCGGAGCGTGGGCGTGCTGCGGGGCGACCATGGCTGTAGACTGTTACCTCCGGTTCCCACAGTAACAATCGAAAGCCACGGTTGCCCTGGAGACGCGGGGGCGGGGCGCGTGGCCGCTCCGGTCGGGCTGACGTCAGCACCGAGATGGGGGGGCGGCGGCGGCGGGCGGGGCGCGGGGCTGCTCCCGGGCTGCGCGCCGCGCGTGTGGGCCGGCCGCCCCCCGCCGCCCCTGGGGACCGGGAAGGGACCGCCGGTGGCCGGCGGGCGCTGGATCAGCACCGCGGACAGCGGCCGCCCGCCGCGAGCCTGGGGCGGGGGGCTCTGGGGACGGGCCCGGGGCCCGGGGCCCGGTCCGGGGGCGGGGCCAGGCGTCGGCGGCCGTGACTGGAGACTGTTACTCGGGGCGCCGGGCAGTAAGCAGTCTGCAGCCCAGGTGCCGGCGCGCTGCCCGGGAGGCGGGGAGGGGGCCGTGCCTCTTCGCCCGCAGCGGGGGGCGCTGCTGCTCCTCCTCCCCCGCGTCTCCCGCCTTCCTGGGCTCCCGCGCCGGCGGACAGGCACGCGGCCCTTGACGTCAAAGCCCTGTGACGTCAAAGACGTCCCCGTGGAAAGGCACTTCCGGAGGGGGGCTCGGTGGGGTGGGGCGGGGCGGTCCCGCCGAGGCCCCACCCCCGCCCGCCCGGTCCTGAGAGAACAGCTCCCCGCGCACAGGCGGGAGGCTGCATCCGCTGTGCGTGTGGGCTGGCGGGCGGGACGCGGAGGCCAGCCCGACGGGTGGACGGGCCGGGCCCGGGAGGGAGGGGGCGCCCCGGTGGGCGGCAGGGCTGGGGGTCCTGAGAGAGAGAGAGAGAGCTGCAGCGGGTGCCCAGCTCAGCCGGCGGCGGCGGGGGCGGCGAGGCTGAGTCACCGCGCTGCGGGGAGGGGAAGGAGGGGTGCGTCTCCGGAGGCACCAGCATCTTCGCCCCACTTTCTGGGGAGGATGGCGCAGGAGCCCCAGGTACAGCCGCGGGCGCTCCGGGGCCGGTCCTCTGCTCCGTGCTCCTCCGAAGTGGCTGCGTCTGCATCCCGGCGCGGGCAGGTGCTGCCCAGGGTGCTGGGTGCGCTCCGGCCCGGGCTCCCCCAGCTACGGGGGCACCCTGGCCCCCCACCCCATTCCCACCCCCACCCCCACCCCCACCCCGCCTCACAGGGGCCCTCCAGCCCACCGCCGGCCGCTCTCCTCGGGGCCCCCGTCCCCGCCTGTCGCCCGTCGGTCGGCCGCCCCGCTTACCTGTCCGGCGCGCCGCCCGCCTCCCTCCCGCAGCCCGGCCGGCGGCGCTTTTATAGCCGCGCGTAGTACTCGTGCGGCGGCTCATTCATGCGGCCGCGGCTCCTACACACTGACGCGCTGCCGACGTCAGCAGGGAATTTAGGAAACGGGAAGAGGGGCTATTTATAGCGGCGAAGGAGGGGGGTGTGTGGGGACCTAGGCGCTGGGGAGGGCGCCCGGAAGCAGGAACGGGGAGGGGAACCCGCGGCCCTGAACCGTCTACAAGGGGTTAACTCTCCGGAACTGCGGGCCGGGGGCCGGCGGGAGACGGTGTGGGAGGTCAGCGGGTCCTCACCTCGCAGTCCCCACTCTCACACCTCAGGTCCTGGACCCAGGGGCTCTGTGACATCACAAGATGTACCCCGGCGGCGGCAGAGCCCCTGAGGTGTGGATCACTGAGGTGGGGGCAGGGAGGAAGCTGGGCCCTCCGGAGCAGCATCTAGCTGTGCTGTGCCGAGAAGAGGGGAAGCTGAGGGTCTCGGGAGGCTTTGCAGGAGGAAGCTGGGCCTGGAAGGAGTGCCCAGCGGGGGTCCAGGTACCAGGGGGAGCTGGATGGAGACCCGAGGCCAGGCAGGAAAATTGAGGACAGGCACGAGGCCCTGGACTCCTGGACTCCCAGAAATGAGCAGGGGGGGGGGGGAGTTGGGCAAAAGGTGTCAGGAGAAGGGGGTGAGAGGGAGAGGAGCCTCAGCAAGTGGAGGGGGGCTGACAGGTCGGGGGCAGTGTCCCTTTCAGGGCCTGGCCCCCAGCAGGCCGAGCTTAGGACGCATCTGTGGAATTATGGGCATATGAGCTCCTAGGAGCATAAACGTGAGTGAAGGAGACCAGGCTCAGCAGCTCGGCAGAGAGGGCTTTCCAGGGTGTGGCAGAGCAGGACCCACTTCCTGGAGGTCAGAATTGGCAGGAAGGGGCCATGCCATGCGGGGCAGTTCCCCTGGACAGGAGCAGGGGGTGAATATCCTGGCCCAACCTGAGGCTCTAAATGGGGGAGGGGTTGTGTTCAGAGAGAGGAGCTGGATGGGGGGGGGGGGGCAGGGCCAGGCCAGACTAGGTGGGACTAGGGAGGGAGGGGGCGGAAGGTCAAAGATTGAAGAGTGGAGTCCACGGGAGGGCAGTCAGGCTGGGGGCAGTTGGGTAAGGCCCTCCGTGTAGATATAAGGACAGCTTGAGGGGAGGGGCTGGGGCAGTAAGTTGACTTGGAAATCGGGTATCTGGCAAGAGTGTTAAAGAAAATCAAGGAAAGGAGCCTGCCGGCTTGGCTCAGTGGTGGAGAGTTAACCTATGAACCAGGAGATCTGGGTTTGATTCCGGGTCAGGCTATGCTGGATCCCTGGTGTGGGGCATGCAGAAGGCAGCCAGTCAGTGATTCTCTCTCATTATTGATGTTTCTCTCTCTGTCCCTTCTCCTCTCTGAAATAAATAAAAATATATTTTAAAAACCAAAAAGAAAAGCAAGGACACTGGGCACAGCAGACACTGGGAGGGTTCACAATGGACAGGCTCCTCCCCTGCACAAGAGACAAGGGGGGGGGGGCTCCTGTGGGACTAGGATCTGGCCCCTCCAAGAGGATAAAAGGTCACAGCAGAAATGGCGCCAGAGCCGAGACGGTTTGGCTCAGTGGATAGAGCATCGGCCTGTGGACTGAAGGGTCCCAGGTTCGATTCTGGTCAGGGGCATGTACGTTGGTTGCGGGCACATCCCCAGTGGGGGTTGTGCAGGAGCAGCTGTTCGATGTTTCTCTCTCATCAGCTATGTTTCTACTCTCTATTCCTCTCCTTTCCTCTCTGTAAAAAAATCAATAAAATATATTTAAAAAAAAAAAAGAAAGAAAGAAAGAAAGAAAGGAAGGAAGAAAGAAAGAAAAGAAATGGCGCCAGAGAGGTTCTCATGCTCGTTGGGAATCTGGCCACCCTGAGTTCTGGTTCCCCTCCAGGCTTTGTCCCAGAGCTGCTCTTCTTCAGGAATGCCTTCCTGCCTGGGGGAGGCACTCCTATTCCTCCAGCAAAGCCCAGCTCCAAGGGCACATCCGAGGAGCCTTCCCGCCTCCCTCCAGCTCCCCGTTCACCCTCCCCTCCCAGCAAACAGCAGACCCTCTGCCCAGAGAGGCGGGCGGCTCTGGAGCTCACCGCTTTCATTCTCGGACCCTCACCACTTCCCTAGTGAGGACACCACGGGGAGACGGAGGAGAGGAACTGGGATAAGAATGGCCCAGAACACGAGTGGAAACAGGGTGAGGGGGACTCAGGATGCGGTGAGAGTGAGAAGGACCTGCAGAGACCCGTAGCGAGTAGCCATCGCCTGGCCCCGAGGCCACGAAGCCGCCTGCGGAGGACAGGGCGCCTCCTGGGGGCTATGGAGCCCTCGGTGTGGCCGCACCCGCGTTCCCTCAATGAATGACTCAGCCACCACCTCTGGCGGGGACTGGGGGCTGAGAACCGCACAGGGTGTGTGTGTGGGGGGGGGGCGGGAGGGAGCGGGGCGGAGTGCGGCCCCATCCGCCCAGCAGCCCCCGTGGTTGCTAAGCTCTCCAAGGCCTCCGAGAGAAGCGGTCCGGGCGAACCTCACCGGTTACCATGGTAACTCTGCGCCCCAGCCTCTGGCGCGGCGGCTGAGGAAGGCGCACCCAATCAGCGGCTGCAGGGGTTCTCGGCACCCACTCCCACCCCTCACGTGGGGGCGGGGGTGAGGAGGTGCGGGGAGGGGCGGAGCGTGGGCCGCAGTGAGAGCTGGTGCCCGCTACCAGCCTGATGCAACGGCTGGGCAGCGGGGACTACTTCCGGAGTAGCTCAGCGCGCGCCTGCACCAGTGCCGGATCCCTCCCTCCCAGAAGGGGAGTCACCTGCAAGAACAGGGCCTTCACCTGGGGGGCAGGACTCTGCGGAGGGGGGACCTCAGGCTGCAAGCCTTCTCGC